TTTTGCACGCTTCCTGACACAACCCTCCCCTTTTATCTGGGCTTGGGATCCCCCTCCCGACTGAATTGGAAACGCCTCTGGTTGTGTGTGTTATAGAATAAAAGTATTATAAAAACGTTGAGATAGTGTTTGTTAGGTAGATCTACAGAAAAGTCAAGATTTATCCACACAACACCGACGACGCCAAACAGCTGCTAGACTGTGTAAAAACCTCTTCCTGATACAGTGATATTTGTCTTTATTTAAAGCTTAAATGTGATTTTGCTAGTCCAAGCTGACGACCATATATCTGGGATATTTACGACCAGATATCTCCCAATAAAAAACACGTCCAGTCAGCCGTTAGCTCGTCCTGAAAACAGCTACAGTCACAGCACACAGCTCGATATTTGCCTTTTCTTTTTAAAATTTTATTTCTTAAAGTGAACAACTCACCAAGATGTTCGCTGTGTTCAGACCAGGGAGTTTACTAAAAGGCTTCAACAACGACATCCTCGCTAAACTTGATAAAGTTTTGTAAACAAACCCGGGGCGGACATTTCTTTCTCTCGCGCTTCTTTTCCAAACATGCGTCTGGCGCATGGTCTGGCGTCATGACGTATACCAATCTTCATTGGCTGTTTTCTTCTGCCACCTACAGGCCGCCGGGAGTCATGCACGTTTGGCAAGCGTGGACCTACCTCACATTCAAATTAGATCAGTTACTATACAACTGGTTACTATTCATACATTCATCGCATATAAACGGGAACTTGACCGTATATATACGTATATACAATATATAGGTATTTACAACAAAGAGAATATACAGCATGCTTTGAGTCAGCAACAGTATATGAATGTTTTAGTGAAGACGATACCTTGTTTTTTGCATTTTATGTAGTTCTCACTCTGATTTTAATTTCCTCATAACTTGATGCACCCGGGATGCAGCGTCATGACAGAAAGAAACGTGTACCTTCCATACCTGTAATGTGTACATTTTTAAATATATCTACATAGTTATTCATATTTTAATATCTTACTTTAAATCCTTCAGTCTAAGTACAACCTGCGGCAAAGATCATCAAAACTGTAAAGCTCAGACTTTTCCAACGTTTTCCTGCTATCTTTTCCACCACCAAAAGCAGCTCCTGTTACCTGAAAATTTTGGCTTCACTTTTGCATGAGGAAGTGGAGCTAGGGCATCCATCTTTACGAACAGCACCAGGCAAATGTTTAGACATGGTGAGTGTGAAGTTGTATGGATTCATACTCAGTGTTACATGAATCCATAGGCATGATTATGTTTTGTCTTCTAATAACCATTACCGCTAGCACCAGGCTGGACCCTCTTTTGCCCACAGAACTGCCTTAATTCATCAAGGCGTAGATTCAACAAAGTGCCAGAAAGATTCCTCAGATTTTGATTCATATTAACAGGAAATCATCACAAGGTTGTTGCAAATTTGCCAGATGGTGACTGTGGAGGCCATTTGAAATATCCATCAGAAGCCGGGTACACTGTGGTCATAAAAAAAATCTGTGTAATTGAGCAGCAATACTCAGGTAGTATGTGGTGTTTAAACAACATTCAGATGGTCAGGTGTGCCAAGAAAATATCCCCATTACAACACCCAAGTCTCAGCATCCTGAACCTTTCATATGGACAAGACTAGATAAATGCTTTCATGTTTTAAGCCCAATTCCAACCCTACCACCCACATCTCACAGCAGAAAATGAGAATCATCAGAGAAGTCAACATTTTTCCAATCTTATGGTTTCTCCTGCAAATTGCAGCCAGTTTCCTGTTATTAGCTGACAGGAGTGGGGTGGGGTGTGGTCTTTTGCTGCCACAGCCAATCTGCTTCAAGGTTCAACGTACTGCAAATTCAAAGATGAGCTTCTCCATAACTCGGTTGTTACGAGTTATTTGAGTTATTCCTATCAGCCGTTCTCCTCTCACATCTAGTATCAAGAAAACATTTCCAACCAGAGAACATCAACTTACTGGATATTTTCTCTTTTTCAGACCATTCTCTGTAAACCCTAGATGGCAGTGTGGAAAATCCCACTAAATTATCAGTGAAATATTTTGAAATATACAGACCGGCCCATCTGACACCAATAAACATCCCCAATGTACCTAAACCACCCCCCATTTTGATGGTCAGCTTGAACCTGTCTTTATGTCTAAATGGACCTAGTTGCTGCTGTGATTGACTAATTAGTAGCTGAACAGGTGTACCTAATGACGTGGGTGGAGTGTGTATGTGGTTTTCAGTAATGTCTCTATATAAGACAGCATTTTTGGGTGATTTGTTTTATACACATGGAATTACACTTCACTGAAAACCAACACAACAGCTCTGCCACAACCTTCTTCACCCTTAAGCAACATCATCAGGAAGCTGTGATGAACTGAACTACAATTCTTTCATTCCATGATAGGAGGGAAAAAAATAGAAACCCATTTGTATAATGTTAAAAACGTGTCTGACTATAACTGAGGTACCAACCCACCCCCCGCCCCCCATTAAAGCTTAAAAAACAAACAAAAACAAAAAACTGTTGCACTCCAACCACAACTTTTGCTGCCAAGGTGGGTTTAATCTGATGCAGCTGTAAAAAGCAGGAGACAAGTTAGAGAGAAATCTGGATAACATTTTTTGTTTGAATGGAAGCCAAAAAAATAAAATAAATACAAAATCATTCAATTAATGGTGGCACAGCAAAGTTGACCCCCCCTCCCCGGTCTGAAAAGTGTCAAAGTCAAATATTCACATAATTTATATACCTCCTGGTCTAGGGAGAAATACTCGGATGACATCTTTTGGGTGGGTGAGAGTGAGTGAGTTTATATTCAAAGTACAAGCTCATCACGGCATCTTAACCAATGCATGTCAAATCTGCGAAATGAGATTGTCATGGCTTGAAGGCAGCAAGTAAAACACAACCATGAGAAGTGCCTTCAGTCATTCACACCTCATTTCAAGCATTACTGCAAGGGCCACGCCACATTATCAAGACCGAACGTGCTACTGAAACTGAGGTTCCCAAGGGAACGGGATAAACTGTATTAACATTAAACTAAGGATAAAAAAATACAGCACTTTGTGTGAGTAAAATAAAAATGGACTTAAAGCAGGGGTGCCGTCTTCTCACCACTCTTCCCCTCATCAGTGTGAAAGTAACTGTACACAGGACCATTGACATGACATGAAAAATGACGACTACACTGCTTCCAGATCAGCCTCGCCTCACTCTTATAAAACTGGTTTGCATGTTTCTGTGACCACCACCACCGACCACCACCCCACCTAATATACATGTCCCGTTTTCAACATGAACACGTATACAAAGTCAACACAAGCGCACACACTTGCACCAGCAGGCTCACATCTCTCCATGCTCTTATTATGTTTTTTACTAAATAATATATCCAAATTAAACTCTTTGGAGGCGCCCCCTGCTGTTCATATCTCCCCGGACTCTCGCTCTTCCGAGCTGGACCGTCGGTCCCGTTCGCACGACACGGATCTCTCTCGTTCCTTTTCCCTGGCCATGTCTGGAGAGGTGGACCTCTCCCTGTCCTCCCAGTCTCTGTAATCTGCTCTGTCGCCACGCCATCCATCTCCTGCACCCTCCCTCCATCTCTCCTGAGACACTGAGCGCTCTCTGTCGCGGGTGTGAGATGATCTGTCCTTGGAGGATCTGAAAAAGTGAGAGAGAGAAAAAACAAAACAATCACTGACGTCTGCTATGGAATGAAAATGCTGAAGAAAGGTCCATGGTTAGAAAGATGGTTGGTAATATTTGGCTGGTTACATTGAATTTTAAACATGTGACCACAAAACCAAGAGGTTTTGCACAAAGTAGCTACTTGTCAATCAGAATGTACCACATTTTCCCTTATTTATGACTAATAGGGATCATATTTTACCAAATACGCATCATTGTTTATTCTTTAAGAACTGAAACTAGCAGCCGAGACCTTAAACTCATCAGCTTTTTGTTTACTCAGGTAATAAATGCAATGGGAACTAGGATAATATTCTCATACTTCTAGGACAAACCACTGGTTGACGTTACAGTGGCTATGTCCATCTTTTAAATACAGTCTATGATTTCTGAATGTCAAAATGATCTATAATCCAAGAGGAAAAATGATCAAGCACCTTATATCCATATACATATTACTATATATAATGAATAGATGTTATAAATATGTGCAACAGTGTGTAAAGCTCTAGTACTTGTAGTATTCATTTAAAAGAATCACTTAAAAGGTAAATTTTAAATAGTTTTCATTCAGATGAATGTTACGCCACACTGTTCGTGATGCAGATTTCTGCAAGTTTCAGTGATGAATAAAATCTGCACCTTTTCTTTTTGCGTCTGTGTGAGTGGGAGCGTGAGCGATGTCTATCCTTGTGTCGATGTTTCCTCTCCCTCTCCCTCTCACGATCCCGTTCCCCACCTTCTTCTCTGGAGCGAGAGGAGCGGTGGCGCCTTGAACGATGGGAGGACGAACTGCCTCCATCCCTGGATAAATCATTTTCAGCAGGGGAAAAAAAATAAAGAAAAGGATATTGTTTATGTCTAAAAAAAAAAAAGGGGGTTGGCTGTACTGATGTGTGCTATCGATTTAGATAAAGACTTTGTGGGAATTCGGAAGCATTTTGTCTTGTAAATGACATCCTGCACGAGAAGTATACATCAGTATACGTAAGAATTTGCCGTTTTCCTCTCTGCTCTTTTACCAGGAAAGCAGAGGTTTGAGTATTTTTGTGGCATATTTGTGTATTTTCGGTGATGGCATTAATAACCCCACTGCGTGCATTTACAGATACCACACCATTCGGCTTTATATTGTGTGAAATTACAAGTTGCCTTGCCAACCTGGGAAAAACAAACTTATCAAGTGATGCTTGCATACCTGTATCGGTCTCCACTCCTAGATCTTGACCTTAAAAAAAAAGACAAAGACATTTCAGTTTCCCGATGACTTGAAACCTTTTCACAGTAACGACAGATTCTAAACATTTACCTCCTTCGGTCCCTTTCTCTTTCCCACTCTCGCTCTCGTTCCCGCTGTCTTTCTCTCTCTCGTTCCCTTTCCCGTTCTTTCTCCCGCTCCCTCTCCAGCTCCCACTGTCGCTCTCTTTCATCTTCTCTTTCGCGTTCCTCTCGCCGCCTCGTGCGCATTCTTTCTTGTTTCTCGATAACAGCTTTCTGGATTAAAAAATAAATGAATGAAGTCAACAGGCCTAACAGGGAGACAAACGCCCAAATCTGTTCTTATCCTTCACATCTTATGACTTTCTGAACTGATCAAACTTGTTTGACGTACAAATTAATTCTTCTTGTTTTCGATTTGATTCCTTACGTGTTTCTTGTCACTTTGAAGCTTTATTTGGAAAAGTCTTGTATAAATGAAATGACTAAACTAGATACAGCTGAGCATACTGCCTTCTTAACTGTAGTTTGTATAACACTGTACAGATACATTTGTGGTACTAATCAATACTCATGCATATAGTAGCATAGACCTGCTCCAGAACATCCTTACCCTTAGCTTTTCAAGCTTCTCACGGATTTCAATAAAACCGAGGTGCAGCTTCCCCCCAAAGTGGTCAGCCAGGCGACGGTCATTGTCATGGAGACCCAAGTAGGCAGAGCACACCTCACACACTCGCAGTTTTTGCTGTTGAAAGCTTGAGGCAGGCATTGAGTTCCGGTAAATATCCTGCAGTCACAAATGTTATGGTTATAAGGAGCAGAATAAAAATTGTTCAACCTGTATCTCATTATTCGGACCTATTATGCAAGCTACAGATTGGGAGCTGATAAAATGTGTCTCCAATATGAGTTCTGTTACTTTGTGAAGAGTGTGAAGCTGCTCTACTCAGACAGGCAAGTTAACACTGGCATGAACCATGAACTCGCTGTCATTAAACCACACATTTAACCTTCATCTATGGTGTACACAGACTAGGCCATCTGTTCCATCTACGAGTGCATCCGACCCCCAGAGTCTGGTTCACTTAACTAGTGTGTTTGCTGTGACTGTGCCCTAGTCCGGTGCTGTTGGATTCAGGCACAGTATACATGTAGTGTGATCGCCACAGGACAGATCCCCAATCCCAAAACCACTTTATTTCTTAAGTAATTAACAACTGAGAGGACAGTGTGTCATTTACTTCCCCAACGGTGCCACAAAAAGCATTAAAAATCACAAAACTTTCACAAGTAAATGGCATGAAAGAGAGACCAGGTGTGACAGGAGTTGAGATGGTGAAACAAACTGGTGTTTACTCAGGCACGGACACATAAGTAGAGTAACTGTGAGTGGGGCTGGTGAGCAAATGTGCTTGAGAACAGTAAACAGAAACTGCACCTCTCATGTGGCTGCAAACGTCTTACCACTTATCACTTAGATAGGTAACACATTTCTAACCTCTGCTTCCTTCTTTAATGCCCGGGTCTTCTCCACTTTTTCCAGCAGCTGCTGGGCCTCTTCTACATTCCCCTCACCTCCCAGCTGCTCTGCCCGGGCCAGCAGCTTCCCGATCTCTTCATTAAGCTCGTGGACACGTTCAGCCTTTTCATGACAGGAAACAAAAAGAAAAAAGAAAGAATGCTAAGCTCATAGTTTTTAGGCAGTGTGTAGACTCTTCCTATGATAATTAGAGCTAAAAATGTCAACAGTGCGTCACCTTTGCAGCCACTTCAGCGCTGATCTCATCTTGTGTTTCTGCTAGTCTTTTCTTGGCCAACTCAGTCCTGCGGTCACAGTCAGCAATGAAAGACTGAAGGTGTTCAGCGGCCTGAGAAAAAGTACAGAAATAACCAAGAAATATTATATTACAGGATTCTCAAGAATATTTAACAGTGGATGAACTAATTAGTCTGTACCTGCTATAAAGTGAGTTTACAAATGCGGCTATAAAACATTGAGTTTCCAAACATTTCCTGCTCTCATCTTAAGCAGTTGTTTAAAGCTTAATAGCAGCACTTACACCATATGTTTGATAAGCCTGGAGAGAGGGATGCCTTCTCATTGACATCTTAATGTGGTCTGGACTAATTTACCACCTTCCAGGCTATTCTATGACATCAAAGTAGCCTTGTAAGCAAGGATGTTGTGAACTGTGTTAATGGAAAAAAAAGAAGCTTATCAACCCTTTGGAATTACCAGGATTACTGATTTGATTACTCAAATATGGTTTCATCTTCAGCCAAGTCAAAATGACAAAAACACAAAGTTTTACTTTAATGTCCACAAAAAACACAGTGACTTAAAATATATACTTCAGTGCTGGGAAAAGTAAGTGAACTTTTTGCTAATGACTTCTGGAAAAGCTACATCGGACATCAGTCCACAAAAAAGATAAGCTAAAGACAGCAGACTACAAAATTGTGGAGCATGGTGGTTTGATTCTGCTTTGCTACACCAGGGCTTGAGCACCAAGGGAGGAACTATACATTTACATTGGCATTAGGAAATTTTACTGGGAAATGTCAGGGCGGCAGACCATGACCTGAAGCTTAGCAAAGACTGAGTGATGCAACAAGACAGTCATCAAAAGACCAATGGTGACTGATGCTGCTAAAAAAAGGCTTGAGTTACAATTCAAGGGTTAACTTTACTCAGTGAGTTCCTATGTTTAATAAATGCATGAAAACTGAAGTGACATAACTTGTCAGTTACTCTGAAGTCCATGAGTCTGTAATACATAGACCAGACAACCATATTTTATGAGTAATTTGATGAATAACCTCTACAGAACCCCTGGGAATGCTAGAGGCATTTTTTGCAAATGTAAAGGAAAGTACATTTGAAGTGTGCAAAAATATTGATTAACGTCTTTCACTAATAACCCTCTTGATCACAAACTATGATGATCCTGAGTTAAAATTAAATACATAATTATTCTTCAACCAGAATTAGTTTTTCTGTGTTAGGACATTCCAGTAAGTTTGGACACAGGAAAACTTACTGTGTCCAAACTTACACTCAAATGAACAAATGAGTGTGTCCTACCTTCTGACTAGTAGTGTGTATTTCTGTGTGTTTCTGAACAGTCTTTTAGGTAGAGCTTGAAACTAACTTTCTCGAGAAAAGTCTCAGCAATCAAAGTAGATGTAGACATTCAAGAGAATATCTTTGTGGGTGTGGGCGTACAACTTACATCAAGTTCAAAGAAGTATTCCTGCTCCTTAGAGGCAATCTCGTAATCAGCTCGGAGTGCCAAGTCATGCACTTTCATGCACTCTCCCAGGTCCATTCTCTACAGGAATCAAGATGACAATGATGTTAGCTGACTGCCTCATTTTACTTGTACGTCTTAGTCCAAAATCTGAAGAAGAACAAAAAAGCTACAAGATAAAATGTCCTGGACACAAGAATTTTCACTGATATCACACTGAAGAATCCAAATGTGATACCCTTTAACTTGAGGCAAAGCTAACACAGGTCTGATGATTTCTATATACACTATTCAGACTATATGTTTATATTCAGTGCTCTGAATGTTCGACTTCGGAAGAGTCTTTTTGAGTCCAGTCCAGTCGAGGTTAAGGAACAGAAAGTAAGAGGATAAGTCAATGAATAAAAGCAACAACACTTCATCAGAGGGGTAAAATGAATCTATCTCACAATCTGTCTCTAATCCCAACTCATATTTGTTATTAAAACAAAGTCTATGACTCTCAGGCCACATCCCCACTAATACATTTGAATGTTTAAATACAGTTTTAAATGAAACCAAACCAGCCTTTTTTTCAGCAGCCAATCAGAGAAAAAGCTCACCTCAGAGTCGTTGGCCTTGTGAGGAAGATAAAGCAGCATGTTTTAGAAAGTGAAACTGTGCGCTAGCTAGTGTGTTATGCAAAGCTGTTCTAGTAAAGTGGATCAGTAAAAATAGAAATGCTTATTAGTATGTTTGGATATGTGTTTATTTCCCATATATATAAAAGTTATTTCATTTCAAACCCATTGACAATGAAGTAGAGCTCAAACACATCTAAGCTCTCCATACATTTCCTGTCAGCCTTGTGTGTGTGACTGTATTTACTGTATATATTATACGGCTGTGTGTAAATATGATAAAGCTCTCCTCTGTGTGTTCAGGCGTGCGTAAACACGATACTCACGGTGCCTGAGAGGATGTCATGAGGACATGAATCCAAGAGGTGACTTTTGCAGACTCGCTCATCTGTGAATTTGATTCTCTGCCGCATGGTGTCACCTTTACAAAAAAAGAAGGAAACCAGAAAAGCAGGCGTTCATGAAAAGTACAGTATTTTACTATCATACTGGGTTATTAGCCCGCACCTGTGACGGATTAAGTCATACATCTCTAACCACTGTAGCATCCAGGTACAGTAAACGTGTCCGATAAAACTCCTCGTGGTCAAAAAATAATAATGAAAAAATACTAGGGAGGAAATGGAGGGAAGAAAAAATGAACACATGACTATGAGCCAAATAAAATGCCGACATGATGTTTGTTTTGGATTGGTTTTGTAACAGATGTGTGCGACAACCTAACTTGCCAAGCAAACTTAAATACAACAGGTAGCTAGCCGGCTAGTTAGCATGATTTGTAAAGCATGCCGCACTGTCACCATAAAGTATGCTGGTTAGCTTGTCGGCTAATGCTAGCAACAGTCATACACGCTGCTGATTTTGTAAGTAACCAATCTCAAACACAGCGAGGCCCCTCTCACCGTCTCTCCCCGTCCCCATGAGCTGGTCCAGCATCGCTCGCATCTGTGCCTGGGCCGACATGTTTATGAGTGCTCAGATAACGTCGCCAGCAGCGGTCTTCAACACATGCAGCCTCCTCAACTGCAAGGCCTCGTCTCTTCCTCCAACAGCACCGACCGCGGATAAGTTTTCCCACCAAGAGGAAGACTCCGAGCCTTTAACCAGCGAGCTGCTTGTGTACAGCGTTACTTCAATGTACTGGTTATCCCTGCACTTCAACAAAAGCAAATAAATGTGACTTTGTGACGTTGGATGGCTTCGGGTCGGCCGAGCAAGTGCAACGTCTGTTTGAAAACTGCTGCCCGGGTCCGCCGGTCGGGTCGTGTGGTGAGTTGAGACAACGGTGACTGAATTTAGACGGGGCCTTTGTTAGCTAACAAAATCTACACAGAAATAAGTAACCAGTTCCACTGTCACATAGACAGATTTCTAGCGAGTCAGCTAGAAGTTATCAAGTTTGTTCAGCGTCCTGTCTTCCTTCTTCCTATTCCCCCTCCATGCGCGTCCCCGCGGAGCGCGCTCTAGTGCAGCGGCGAAGGAAGTGCTGCAGTCAGCCTCGCGGGCTTGTTTGGTGACGTTACACATCACCAACAAATATTATTATTATTATTATTATTATTATTATTATTATTATCATCCTACTTCGTTTTTTTCTCATATTCACACATATATGAATATCAAAATGACTGGGATCCTAGAGCAGACTCATTGCACAACACTAAAGACCACCTAAAGTTATAAACATTGTGAATAAGACACTGAAAGTTAAGATTTTTAATATGAGAAGGATTGGCTAGTCTCAAGTGCCCACTCCCAGCTGTGATAAGGGGGATGTTATTTTGACACTTCACTCCATAGAGGCCTTTCTTGGTACCAGGCTGTAAACATAAATGTTCTGCCATTATAACAATGAAGTCTGTGTGGGCTGACTTGCTTTTGGGCCCTGCCTCAAGCGGCCACTCTCAGAACAGCAGTTTTAGGCACGTCTGCATTAGCTTCATTTTACAGTCTGACAGGCTGGTACATCATTCTTAATTTATGCTACCGTTGTGTCTGTTTGTGGAGGTATTTGCTGACAGAGACCCTATGGCAACGACCACAGAAGTGCTCCTGTGCAGTCCTCCAAAATCCAAACATGATCAACATGGATGCTAGGAAGGAAAGGGAGTGGCAGCAGCATTCTTCTGGAATGGGAAAGGAAGGAAAAACATCAAAGTTTAAAAAGTAGACTATTAAAAGCACAGACAGTGGCTTTTTAACATAAGTTTCACTTCAGCTCTTCGTAATGTTACAACTTTGTTCTTCTCTGCAACTGGATGATGGACCAGCAACAACGCCTTGTACCAGATATTTGAGACTGCCCCCATCTGACAACAGATGCACTCTGCAGGTAGATGGGCAGTCCTTAGCTGCCCATATACTGCCAATGCGCTACCACTGCTGAACCATAGTTTCCTCATGAGTGTTACTTACTGCATCAGCTTGTAAAGAGTTGTGGCAGTGCATTAGTTTTTTCCATAAGTTTTTTAGTTTCTCCACCTGTCTGCCTCAGTCTCATAAAAATGACATGGCTTGAAAGCATTTAGGATTTTTCCCCCTTTGATACAGTGAGGAGGGGATTAGACTTTGGTGGTCAAAGATCACTCTCCATTTCACCTGCTTTGGTGCTCATTCTGATTGTACAGGTAGAACAGCTCCTCCAAGAGGATGGCACATCAAAATCTGCAAATTTCACTTCAGCTCTCCGTAATGTTATGACTTAGAGATTTCAAGGGGCAGGCAGGTACACAAGGAGAGTTAGGACAGCAGACATCGTCAGCAATGACTAGTACTTTCTTCTTTGTTTGAGGAGGAACATGAGGAGCAGTGACCTCCAGAGGGTTACACAAATGTGCATGTTTCTAACCAAACTGTCACGAATGACGTATGTAAATATAAAAGAAAAACATTCTTGAGACCTTAAGATAAACAAGGAGATCATTTAATTTGTTCTCATACTTTTTATGCTCATTTGTCTCATTGAGTCTAAAAAGTTGTTTCTGTCCAAACAGAGGTGATAAACATAAACACATAAACTGGCTGCAAGTCCTGATTTTACCCCAGTTTAAAATGCAAAGAATTATAACCATCGGCTAGTATTTTACGTTATTTCTCTTCAGTTTCAATCCTGATATTATAATAAGCTGATAACTGTGATTGGTTGCTTGTATAAAGGTTTACTGTGTTAAATATGAACATAGTAAATAGTTCCGTAAATTTTAAATAAAGTTTAAAAGGCCCTTAGTGACTTAACTTCAGCTATGTGTATTTTAGGGCCACATGTATCTATCGGTAGCAGACAATTCAACTATAATAACAATACATTAAGATGGAATTACTCATCATTTACCTGTCAAACCGCAAGCTACGCCCATACAAGGCATCCCAGTCCCACCCATATGTGGTCCAACCCTTAGAAACGTCCCATTACCGTCACAAATACAGGAAAAATGGCGGCGAGTATGTTGCGGCTCCCGCTGCGACTTTCCTCCAGAAATATGGGGATAATGACCCATAACACCGGCTTGAAGACCTCAAATATACCTCGGACGACTCAAAGCAGGACCGCAGTGTCCACGCCGTCTGGAGCAATTCTACCGAAGCCGGAAAAAGTGAGTTTCCAACGTCCAGTTTACAGAGGTAGCCGAGCGGAGTTACGAGTGGGCGGGACAGCGGTGGTTTGACGGAAGCTTTGACGACTAGAAAGACAGGATACGCACCGGACTTGTTAAATCAGCCAATGAACATTTGTTTTGTTAAAGGGAGAGGCTGTTAAAGGAAATAAGTCACTAGTAAATTTAAAGGTCATTTATTATTCAAAGACTCGTTTTATTTGGGGAAATGTAGTGTTGTGTCGTTAAAAAATACGTCCGCTGGACAGCCGTTAATGTTGGCGAGTAATTTATAGACTTGAAGCCTAAACTCGTCGATGTTCGGGCAGGACATGTCCAGTTGGTCGCGGAACAAGGCTGTTTTCATGTCGCAATAAAAACACAAATGCACGTTAATAAGAGAAATTGATATTTAATGATCGATGGACGGAAACTGGCGTGAGGTCAAAATGATCTGCTCTGTAACCACACACACTTCGTCCACTCTTTTTGGGCCTTCGACATTTGTATATGATTCTCTGCTGGAATCTGCTTCACGACTGGCTGAGGGCTGTTAACTCAAATACATGTATTCACATGGAGATACCCATCGACCATGCTTTACGGAGCCAAGTCAACATGACTCAGAATAGAGCTTCAGTGTAAGGATGTAATGACCTGGTGACATCAGTTGTGCTTTTAGTGAAAGCATTTTGTGTTTCAGATATTCTGAAACACTCCTGCCAGTTTGGCCTCAGTTTTTTTTTACCTGGAAATTTGTAAAACGTCAGCTCTGTTACAACCAATCTCCCCTGAATCCAGCTGTGCCACAACACCTGCAGAAAACCTAGTTATGTTTAGTGATCTGAATAGTTCTTGCATCCTCTTGGTTTAACCATAACGTTTCTCATTGTTTGATTTTTGCAGACACCATTTGGTCTCATCCGCATGACATTAGTGGTGGTGCCTTTCCTTTATGTGGGAAATCTGATCAGCAAGAACTTTGCCGCCCTCCTGGAGGAGCATGACATCTTTGTCCCTGAAGACGACGATGACGACGATTGACCTAACTCTGGAAAAGTAAATGGTAAAGTTCAAGTGCTTATTAGCCACACCTTATGCAATCTTTAAGCATTGAGGCTGGGACCTTTAGTCACGGTCTTCTACTGTGTAAAGGGTGTGTCAGCTGCATGTCAAAGGAAGTAATCTGTGACATTTTACCAGTGATGACAACTGTGTTCTGTTTTTTTCATTTATATCCACAGGGTGCTTTGCAATATTGACTGAAAGCATACCAGTCGGCACAAGGAAGATGGGGCACTTTGTCTTCCAAATAAATCCCTCTGTCTCCACCCTCTTCCTTTCCCTATTCTCTAGTATTTAACTTGTTTTGCCTTCAAGAATTTATCAGAAATGTCATATCATGCGAGGCTATCACAACTACTAGTTTTGGCCTCGCTCCTGTTTGCATGTTTGTGTGTGACTAATAAATAAAGAGTCTCTTATGTGGAAAACACTTGTTGTTATTTAATCTTAACACCCATAATTTTTAATTCTGGCTCATTTTAGGCTTATCAGGTCATGATAACATATATTGCTTTTTTATTTTATTTTATTTTTTTTAAAATATTGGCTGGTTTTCTTTGTCAAAGTACATTTTTAAAGGCGTGTCCTCGTAGGTCACGTAGGTCACGTAGGTCAGGTCTGTCTTGCTCCCTCCTGAAGGGCAGCGTTGGCCAGTCTCAGGTGTTCATTGAGTGAGCCCATCTCCAGCTGGCCACGCCCCCTGGTGTCACTTAGCTCTACATATGCCTCCTTAAAACGCTCATAAGCGGCTTCTTTCTCCTGGAATAAGTACAGACATGGTAAGCATAGTTAGGCCATTTAATTGTTCTAAATTTTTAATATGTATTATTTCTGTGTGATAAAAGAGATTAGACTGTAAAACATACCTTTGTAAGAGATTGCACTTCATTCTGTAGACAACTGATTTCTTTTTTAAGATACTGAACTTCATTTTCTTTTGTTCTGAGTAGAGTCTGTAAGACATTAAACACAACCTCTTATTCAGTAAAAGGACTAGATGTTACAATCCCTGATAATGCATTGCTTTAAATGGAGAAAATCTTGAGGGATGGCTGTTACGAGAAAAGGCAGCCCAGAAACGTTACCAGTTTGGGACACATTGTCAGTAGTGGACCTTGGATTCATCGGGTGTTTCGGCCATTATCACTAGACACCCTCATCCAAGGAGGCCACTGGTTTATGTTTATGTTAAATTGTAATTTCTCTTCTTTCTTCTGTTTAGTTTTCTACAGTTTATTTTCTTCTATCTATTCAATGCAACTAAAACATAATACTTACCTCTTTAACATTTATGGAGCCTCACTTTTTCAAAGGGATAGAAAAGGTGATAAAGAGAAGTAAGACATGAGGGACAAGATAGGAGAGAGCAGAGAGGAGAGCCGGAAGGGGGGCACCCGATCTGGCTTCCCACACCTCCCCGCCGGATCGGGCTGTACGCTCTACCTCCCCACTGCCTCCCAGAAAAGGGTAGAGGAGCAGAGGGGCGAAGAGCGAAAAAACCCACCAGATCAAAAATGCAGAGCTGCCTGCTATGGTGACTCATTGTAAATAAGGAAGCAGCTGAAAGTAGCTTATCTTACTATATTCATCTAATTCATTTGACTATTGTCATTTTTTAAAACAGAGTTTACACAGTTCTTTAAATTTCACTGCGCTCACCAGTCACTTTACTAAGCACACCTGTTCAACTGCTTGTTAGCACAAATATCTGACGTGTCAATCAAATGCCAGCAACTCAATGCATTAAGGTATGTAGGCATGGTCAAGATGATCTGCTGAATTTCAAACTGAGAATCAGAATGGAGAAGATAACTGATTTTTAACACTGTATAGTTGTTGGCATTTTCTGAGTATCTTTAAATAAGTGTTGATCTACTGGAAGTTTCCCGCGCGGCCCTCTCTAGGATTTACAGACAGTGAGTGAGTGCCATTTCTCTGGGAAAAATGCCTTGTTGATGCTAGATTGCTTTACTATCATAGGAATCAAAGTCACCTGAAATAACCACTCATTACAACCAATGTATGTCTGAAAGCACAATATATTGAAACTTGAAGCAGAAGGGCTACAGCAGCAGATGACCACACTGTGTGAATTGTAGCCTGGGCTCACTAAAACTAGACAAAAGAAGATTTGAAAAACGTTGCCTGGTCTGATGAGTTTCTGCAACATTTGGTTGGGAGGGTCAGAATTTGGTGTGAACAACAAACATGGATCCGTCCTGCCATGTATCAACAGTTCAGTTATTTTGTAGAAAATAATAAAGAATCTCCATCAGAATTATGATTATCACTTTACAGTGTAATAAAAATGGAAAACATTTGACAGGCAGGAACCTGAGGAAAAGAAATGATTCAAATACATCCTAGATGTGCTTAGATTCACGAGTCAATTGATTCACCAGAGATGCGCAGGATGATGATGTACTTTATTTCAGCCTGTAGGTGGCGATATGTACTGCAGCTGAATGCTCAACAAAAATGAGGCCAAGAAACAGGTGACAGCCGCCACAGGGGGTCATTAAATCAGGATACAAGGCAAAAGAAAACACTTTGATCCTTTTGATTTTATGGAGTGGGTTCAAAATCCCACAGACATAGATTAGATGCTGTTGTGAGGTTCCCAGTGATGACAGTAACGTCAACATTTGTCCTTTAATATTTCCACACAACTATAAATAAAGTTGGTTTGAGCGGGGGCAAATATATTTTTCAGCTTATCTCTTTTCATATAAGAAACTCTAATCAATACCTCGAATTCTGATGCAGCGCACTCAGTGTTGCAAAGGGATACCACATCCGACCTCTGACCTGTGATGAAATACCGCATACGGCTGATCTCTTCTGCCAGTTTGGCCTTGAGATCCTGTAATAGAGATGTGTAGCTCAGAAATAAGAAGTATTACAATGTATGTGCTTCTTTATTATGTTTTTTCAATATGTAAATGTATAAGAATAAAATAAAGAGGATGTGAAGGTCATTGTTTCACTTTCTAACACAACATGTTGTTCTGTATTCAAATTCATTTGCAAACAAAGGCTGTGCAGAAACCTGGTTCTCTCTTCTGAGCTGCTCCAGCTCCTTCTCCTTGCGTCCGAGCTCTGTCTCTCGGCTCTTACTGCTGTGTTCAGCGCGGTCCAGCTCCAGGCACTTCTGAGAGTAACGCTCTGACAGCACATCTAACTCAGAGTGCAAGACATCCGCCTGGAGCCTGGCATGCACAAACACACGAGTTGTGAGGTTTTTGTGAGGTCTTAATTATAATGCATCACAACAGGCGCGTGGTCAAGTGTAGAACATCTACAGCCTGCAGCGAGGAGGGCTATGGTACACTTACGCCTGCCCTCGGCATGATGAATCCACATGTGCCGCTCCTGCGAACGACTTCCTGGCCTTCTCCACTTGTCTCTCCAGCTCCTCTCTGTGAGCTGCTCTCAGTGCCTCCATAGCTTTTAATGAACAGTTAGTTAGCTAGTTAATGCATTTGGTAAACAACCTTAAAACAAGAACACCAAAAGTAGGCTTGCAGGTGACAGCAGCATCAGTAGGTAGTACTGTATACAGTAAATACCATATATTCTACTTTTGCACCACTGTTTTGTTGCACTATGACTCCAAGACCAGTTCCTTTTTTGTGTACACACTTGGTATTAATAGGTTTCTCATATGTGTGAGCTGATGATTTCTTGACTGTCATGTATCAGTCAAGAAATGTTAATTTTACTGAATTGCAAATCAATAAATGCCTTTTTTGGCATGAAATACGTTTTAGTGCAGGTCCCTAAAAAGTTTAAGTTTAGATGAAAGAATGAATGAATCAATTTCTTCACTTAGATGACAAATAAAGAAGAGTCATTTCAGTGCGGCCGTTTCGCACTGTCATCCTCGGTAGGTCTAATAATGGCTGAAATGATTTGTGCACAACTTTAATCTTTTCCAGGATTTAGTCTGAGCCGTAAGAGGGAATTCGTAGAAAACACCCTCACTGGATTAACTGGCTAAGACAGTGGATACTGCCTTACGGTCATTAATTAATGGTCCCTCATACCTAAAGCAAGATCTTTATTTTCAAAAGATTAACTTTCAAAGTAAATTGGAGTCTAGTATCTACTCTACTATTGTGAGGTTTAGGACTGAAGGAATTAAATCTTGATAAATGATATGACTGTGTAACATGCATGTAAGGGACCAAGGGCTAAGATTCATAAGTATTTATTTTAGTTAAAATAAAAACTGCACCCTGCAGAGAGCAAAAAGCAAATCCTCATGTTTAGCCGAAGCTGCTGTTGCTGTTGATACTCCGTGACTCACCTTTAGCAGCTGCTTGGCTCTCCTCCTGTAGCATCCTGTCTTTTTCCTCTTCTAGCTTTTTTATCTCCTTGGCATGCTTCTCTTGCAGCTCCTGCAGTGCTTTCCTGTGTGCTACTTCCATGGCCTCCAGTCTGGCCCTACAAGGTGCCCCAGTGCCACAGGGACTCTCCACCTCTATACCCATGGCCGCACGCTCCCTCTTAATGCTCTCTACCTGCTTTCGAAGAAAAACAGCCTGGAAGATTGTTTTATAGAAAATGTGTAGGGGTAGAGAGGAAGGAGGGGAAAAAAAGACTGAAAAACAATCCCTGTTGGATAATAGTATAATTTTCTTGCCCTGACTCTGTGCATCGCTTTTTTTTAATTGAAAGTTGTCTCCTACCTCTTTTTGCAGTGCTTCAGCTGTATTCATTGTGATCTGGGCGCCATTTATGGATGGAGGAGCCTCCTTCATGTTTGATGTATCGGTTTGTGACCCGGTGACAGACTGGTTGACCTCTTGAGGTGGTGAGTGATCTCTCTGGGGAGTAAGTAGAGATGCAGATGCCTGTGCGGTGCTTGACTGATAAGCCTGGGTGCCTATGAGAGACTGTGAGCTCATGTCCTGAAATGACATTGTCTCAAATTCTGCCCACTTCCTGTTAACTTCAGAGTCCATAGTTTCAATAACAGGCACAGGTACACTCCCCTTTTTCAGCTCCATGGACTCCCACCTGCTGCCCATCTCATTGACGGGGAGCTCCTCCTCAAACCACTTGTTCCTCTCCTCCAGTCGTTTTGCCTGCTCGCGGTCCCAGCCCTCCCCTTCCTCTCTCTGACTGGCTGGCGATAAGTCCGCACCCAGATCTCTGTCTGCTGCTTGGTGGTGGATTTCGGTCTGGTAGGAGTTTGCAGCTGTAGTGGTGGAGGTGCAAGTGGCAGGTTCATAGCCCGAATCCTTGCAGGTGAACTGAGCAGGGGGTTGGCATGGTGACGGTCTCCGGGAGAGGGGGTTCTCTTTCTCGCTGCCGATGTCTGATTGGCTGAGGTCCGAATGAGGGAAATACAGGAGAGTAGAGTTACACATTCAAAGAAAGATAAGAGAGACAAGGTCTGCTGCAGGCAGACCACCCAATCATAGCCGTGCTCCACAGAAATGTTCAGATCTTGTTTTTGGAGACTGAGGATTTTAGCACTATGATAAACATCAAGTATTCACCATGTAGGGTGTTTCTGTTCTGTGTCCCATTAATTAAGATCAAGAGATACCAGTAATTTTAATTTAATTTAAGATCATTTACTTTAACTTGATTCCAGCTTTTTATACTGCTTTGGTAATGAAATGCACAAAGTCTATGAAGGCGCAGGTACAGGGCTAGTTAATGCTATGAAAAAAATAATAATATAAAACTATAAAAATAAGAAAGTAGAAAGAACTTTTGCAATGATGCCTCACAGCAAGAAGGGTTTCTTTTGGCTGGCTGGGCCTTTTGTAAGGAATTTTCATCTTCTTCTTGTGCACGTGTGGGTAATCCAGCTTCCTCCCACAATCCAGAGAGATTAAGTTAACGGGTGATTCTAAATTGGCTGTACGTGTGAGTGTGAGCATGAATAGTTGTCTGCCTCTCCGTGTTAGCCCTGCGACAAACTACCTGTCCAGACTGTAACCTGCCTGATCGGCTTGCATCCACCTCGACCCAGAATCGCCCTTATTTGACAGTTTCAGTGAAGAGAGACAAATCAGGGAAATGACGTACAACAAACAATCCAGCCAGACTGTTTTACACGCATCATGTTCTAAGTTAAATGAAATGACTAAATAGTGTATGTATGTAATAAATAGTGTATATGATTCTTGAAATGAACTCCAGTTCCAGCAGCTACAACAGTCACAGTCTGCTGCATTAAGCCTAATGCATTAATAATAGTAATAAAACAATGTAATATGTAAAAGCAAAACACACTGATCACATATTCTATGTGCACTAAGAATTTGGGCACATTTTGCAGATATTATTTATTTTCTGAATATTATTACAATATGTTTACACTTTCATGTGTTCGTTAAGTCCCAAGTAAAGGATCTGAACACTTCCTGTCTCACTGTCTCCCACCATAGTGCCAGACTCACTGTGTGTTGTTCTGGATCGCCTGCTTCAGTAACTTCAACCAATTTTTCCGAATTCTGGATGTCACAGCAGAGAGAGTGAACACTGCTCCTTTTGTCTGGGGCAGATCAAAAGACACAACCACACGCACGCACACACACACACACACACATACACACACACACACACACACACACACACACACACGCGTGCGTTAAACAGGAAGCAGCCAAACATCTATTTGTCTGGCTGTGAAACTGGGAGTTGGGTGGGTGGAGGTGTGATTATTTGACAGAGTTTTCGTCTACTGAGCAACACCATTAATAATTCAAATTGAATTCAATTTTATTTATATAGAAAAAACAAAAGTGCTGTGAATAAATACTTGTATTTGGAGTCCGTAGTTCTTGTCCACATCACAATCTGACACATTCACGCAGGACGTCAGGTCGATCTCTCCATCCAGGTCATCTGACTGCAGCACGACAAGAGCAGCATAACTTTAGCTGAGTCAAATAAGGTCACAGTTCTCCCCCAAACAATTCATTTTTCAGGAAACTGACCTACTGGTATCAAAAAACAAACTTCATAAAGTCTTCCTGATTGTACAAAAACAGCACACCAGAAACTGCTTTAATGTCATACCTCCTTAGCCTCTGAGTCTCTGTAGTATCTCAGCGAGGTGTCACCGAGAACAAACCAGTGTTTCCTCCACTGCGGAAAGCACAGTAAATATGGACAACGATGAAGTAACTGGTGCCATGACCATCAAACCCATTTGTTGGCATTCATTTCTACAGTATGTAGAGTCTTTTCAAGATGTTTCACGATGATGAGTCACGTTGGTGGTGTTTTGAGCCTGTCTGGCAGGTTTTATGAGGATGTGGTTACAGCTAGAATTAGCATCTTAGTTAAATATAATAAGATTTTCAAAAGAATACCTTTACCTTGCCATGTTCATCCAGTCTGGACATCCACCCCTTTGAGAAACAACATCTGCAATTAAAGCGATACGAGCAAACAGAATGAAAGAGCTCTTTTTGTGGTTTATCTCTCACACTTCATTGTGAAACTAGAGGAAGCGGAAACTGTCGGAAACAGACGACTGCACTCTTGAGATAAATAATACAGATCGACGCATGTGGCGAGGTGCAGATAGAGAAAAATACAACTGAACAGAGGAAGATGTGTAGTTTCTGTGAACCATCAAACTGTCAGAGGGAGAAAGGAAGGGAAAGGGGAACCAACGGTAAATTATTAGAACGATAGTACGAACTGAAAAATACTCACCATGTATGACGAATGTGATCCGTTGTTATCGTAATATGAAGAGGAGGAGAAATAGAGGAATTAGGTTGGAAGAAGTGCCCGATGTGATATGTAAAGAGGATGTCATAAAAGTTTCACCCATACAGAGATGCCTACATATGGAAATGCTGTGTGAACTACTAAAAAAAGTTTTCAACAGCGAAACAGAAACATTGTTGAATGTTTCATTTCGTGGTCATCCATCAGTGTACAGTGACTCAGCTGTTTTAGTCATGACAGCACAACACTGCAAATACAGGCAACAGTTAACTGAAACCGTCCTGGAACCTATTAATAAAGATGATAAATCGAATGAACATGCTGCCCTAAAACACAGAGTGCTAGGTAATGACTTCTGCCTGCGAGTGTGTGTCTCTGCGAGGGGCTGAAATACATGAATGACCTATTTTCCTCCAAATGCTCGTGTGATATATACAGACGCAGGAAGTCATGAGACAGTGCTCACCTGTGTCTGCAGGCGTTCAGGAGGAGCCGGTCGCTCATTCACCTTGGAGGATCTGTGTTTTCCACTCTGGCTATCTGAGGTCTTTGATGGATTAAACAGACAGGACGTTCTTGCCTTTTTAAACACAGCTGTTTGTGATAAACATGCCTGCAGTGACTGCATCTTACCTGTGTATGAAGAGATGCTGCCGATCGTCTCCGAGACGATCGTCCGTTCTCAGAGTCTCGACATTTCTCCCGTCTGTCTCTCCCTCTCTCTCTGCCTCTCCCCCTCTCATCTGACTCCAGCCTTGAACTGTAGAACTGGCTCGATCTGTCTATTTCATCTTGATACCTTAAAGTTAATGTGTAGAGGAAATGAAAAGAGGAAATATGTTTTGAAAGTGAACTTTTGCAGACCTCTGCAAAAGGTTCAAGAGCATGTTTATTTTCTCAGGCCATAAATTAATGCTATCAGTTACCACATCAGATAAATACATATCTTCAAAGAGTTTTCTGCCCACTAATTTTCCAGCTAGTAAAGGAGTGACGCACAGATCACAGCAGATTGTAGTGCACAAGTCCAGACTTTAAACACTAAGTGAAGCAACTGAACCAAAGTATTGCACTAACTGTTTATGGATTACAGCCATTTTATACAATTATCAGAGAGTGCAATGGAATGAGGTCACTAGTGTTTACTGGTGATGTGACTGCTCATAGAAGTAGCAGGATGAATTGAGCATTTACAGGGCTATACTCTGCGGTCAGGTTCCGCCAAATGCCGAAAAATTGATTGGACAACTCTTCACAGTGCAAATGGATAATGATCCAAAACATACTGCACAAACATCTCAGTTTCTCAAGGCAAAGATTCAATGGCCAAGTGAGTCAGCTGATCTCAACCTAATAAAGCATGCCTTTTAATTTTTATTTATTTTTTTAACTGAAGCCAAAACTGAAGGCAGAGAAAGCAAATAACAGCCAGCAGGTGGCTGCCCTGAAGACCTACCAGAGCATCTCAGAGGAGATAATTCAGGCAGTCACTGACTACAAAAGACTTTTATCCACTAGTTCCTTTTGGTAGCAGTTAAGTAGCGAAAGGCAATATGAAGTGCTGTTAATGTTGATTTTGGTTCCTGCAACATTACAACTGAAGATTTATAAGGTTTAAAATGTGGTAAGAAAACTTCAACTATAACTGCTAAAGCCTATTTTGGCTACTGTGTGCATCTCAGAACCTCTGTCAGTCTTGGATGAGCTAAATATTTCTGTGTCCAACCACATTTTGGTTGGCATTTAGGTAAGGCCCAGATGCAAGTGCTCAAAACCAGCAGTGAGACAATGCCACATCACCAACCTGTATGTCCTGAGTCTCTGGTCCCTGCATGGACTGGGACTCTGGTTCCTCAACCTTAGCCCTGGAAACTCTTCTTCTGACTCCACTTGGATCTTGGGAATATCAGCCAGCATTATGTAATCATCTATGGTCATCCCCACCTTAGATTTAGAAAAGATTTAGCACGTTAGCATGTGGCAAGACTGATTTTTATATGGTGTTTGTTAAACAAATAGATAATTCTAAAAACTGAAGCAATTGCAGGAGTGCCTTAAATCTGCATTCAATTCATTTATATGGCATAATGGAATATTTACTTTACCACTTTAAACACTTCCTAATGAGTTTATTGTGTCAGTTGCTAGTTGTGAATTAAAGATTAAGTCTTTTTTCTTAAGTTTAGTCATTCTAAGTGCCAGAAAGGAGCATTATTCACAGTATGTTTATTGGCTAACAACTCAAGGTTGACAATCAGCCAAATTCCTGCTCACACAACTTATTTATTTATTTACCTCCTCAGCCTCTAATGCAACCTTTTTGGGTTCAGAGACCAGCAGGGTGTCCATGCCTCGTCTAATGGCGCTCCTGCTTCGGTCACCTATGACTTTGTTTTTTCCTTCATCGGCTTCATCTGTTCCTGTAATCGTAGCTTGTGACAGTGATCCACCAAAGACTTGCGAGACTGTGCCCCGCCTCGATGACGAGGATCCAGGTGAGGCCGGGATGCTGAGTAAAGAGTGTGCGGACCCCTGCCATGAGTTTTGTGGACTCAGCCTGCTGTCTCTGGAGCAGGGTTCTCTTTGTGGGGAGTGGCTGGTGCCGTAGCCGTTCCTGGATGGTGAAACGTCACGACTGTTCCGAGTTCGAGTGTTGGTCGAGCTGTTGACAGCTGTTCTGATTCGTGGGGATGGTTGGGATAGCTCATATGAATTTTGCTGAAGAGCTGACGAGCCACGACGGGAGATAGACTCGAGATTTCTGTACAGCTTCTCAGAGTCTAAACTGTGCCTGTTCGAAGCTTGTGATGGACTCCCTGACTCTCGACTATATCCCTTTTTAGCATCATATTCACCATTCTGTGAGAGCAAAGAGCCTGCACGCCTGCGAGATGGTGTGGCCCTGGAGGGAGACACGGTGCGAGAGGCATTGGACAACTTCCGGCAGAATGGACTGGACCAGCCTGACGTATGGCAAGAAGGACCATATGATGGAAGCTGTGGAGAGCTGTGAGATGAAGTATGAGACCGAGTCTGACTCCTACAGAGGGAGCTCCCTCTCTGAGCTCCCACAGGCGATTCGGTGAGCTTGTAGCGTTCTGGACTCATAGAGCTGTGACGTGTCGGAGAATTTGCCGGTGAATCTCCCCGTCTAAAGTTTGAGTGGTATGTGTATCTCTGCGGGGATTCACTTCTCCAAGTTTCCTGCATATATGTCTCATGATTTCTTCGCTGGGAAGGCACTCCCAGGTTGACGTTCCTGTAAGGGACACAGGCCTTGGGCTCGGGAACATAGTTGCTTGGAAGGGGATGCCCCCGCTCGTAGTAACGAAGCTGACGTTTTTTGGCCTCCTCAATCTGCTGCTCACCATCACCTCTTCTGTCGGGAGAGAAGTAACCACTCTCTTGTCCCCTATCTCCCCAGGACTCTGAAAATCAAACAAATCTGTGATCATTGCCTTAATAATGTAAATAGCTTATCAGAGAGGATTATCTTTCTGTAAAATGCTCATGATGGAGTTTAGTTCTAACTGGGATGCATGTCTGTGACTGACCTGATGCCTGGCGGGACCTGTTTCTCCCTCTCCTCTCATCCATCCAGGAGCTTTCAGTGCCTTGTGGGGGAGAGGAGTCCAGCCGTGTCATTTCTCTTTGAGCCACACAGTACAGCTCCAACCTGGGGGATCGACCCCTCTCTGAAGAATCCAACTGATTTGGAGAGCTGGGAGAGGTAGCAGACAATCAGTCGATGGGCGATAAATTGTTATTTGAATGCATCTAAAGTGTTTGCTCAAGTTAGTGAAGAAGTGCTTCAAGAACATCTTTACACATCTGCTGTGCTGTCAGTCTAAGATTTCCATCAGCTTTGTCTTTCATTAAACTCTTGGCATTAAACAAAGAAGGAAAATAATGTTAATCTTCTTTTTCCATACAGGAACTTTCAGAGGAACTCAGAACAGCAGATGAAACCATCAAAACAGCCCCCGCTCACATGGTATTTAATTTTACGTACAAGAATTTTGGGGGTCGGGCTTGCAGAGCTGAAGGATTAAGACTGATCACGTATTCCTTTTATGGATTAGAACCGTCTGTAGGTTATATATAAAATATATATTTCTATAAACAGCATTAATTTTTTTCATAGGTCAATTAAGTTACAGATTAATTTAATTATTAGCTTAATCAACTTAATTATTGGCATTATTAATGTATTAGTTAGGTGTTATCATGTACTTAATTCATCATTTATATATCATTACTCCTTCTTAGTATGCCATTTATAAAAGCAGATGTATTCTTAAGACCATCTTCAAGTTTCAACAGACTTTTCAAATAAATATAAAATGCTAGAGGAGTGTGTAGAGACTCACCGGTGCTGCTGCAGCTGTGATAAGAGGAAAAGACTCAGTGTACCGAATATAGAGCCTGAGTTATAGTCAGAGACTCTCTGAGATCACTACACTGTGAGAGAACAGTGCATATTCAGTGATTTGAACAGAAGCTCTGAGTGCTACGGTAGTTATTATGGAAATATGATGAGAGCAGATTTATGTCCACACAGATGAAGTGTATAAAACACTGATGTAATTATTACATTTTATGTTGATAATTATGCACCCGTTTCTATGCTGAATTTCCAGATAGAGAAGCTCACTGTGTCTGCACTATCAATAAGCAGATCAGTTATCATTATTGTGGCACTAAAACATCCAGCGCCATCAGCAGTCAATCAGGTCCTCTTCCTCCTGAAAGCCCCACTTCGTCTAAACCTTTTCCTCAAAAGTTTAGAGCTCACCAAAGCAAGAACATTTAAAATATCAAGAACTATAAATTGCGTGTTTGTTTGTTTTGTTTTTTTTAACTATCAGCACTTTAGACTCTGGAAGCAAGGGATCAAGTGAGGTTTGTGGTTTGCTGCCAGTGGTACTGGTACGTTGTACAAAAATGGTGAATTAAAAAAAAGGAGGACCAAATTCTTCCTCCAAATTCATCAACTTCATCTCACATCGACGTCTTGAGGCTTGATCCTGGGATGTAATTGGGTGTTCCAACATGACAATGATCCCAAACACACATCAAAACGGGTTAGGAATGGATAAAACACGCTTAACATTAAGCGTTTTGAATGGTTGTCTCAAAGCCCCGACATCAACCCTATTTAAAATTGAGGACTGAAGCCACAGTTGTGTAAGGAAAACCCAAAATGTAAATGAACTCTACCAGTACTGCCATAAAAAGTGATCAAATATGTATCCAGAATTATGCCAGAAACGACCAAACAGTTTGGTTGAGGTTAGGGATGCACCGATACCACTTTTTTGGAAACGAGTACGAGTACTTGCATTTCAGTACTCGCCGATACCAATACCGATACCGAGTACTTAATAAAAACACGATTTAAATTTACAGATAACAGCTTTATAATAATTTCCTATAATTTAACAAAAAAAACAACAACAAGGGACTAGTTTGGAATTAAGAACATTTATTTAAAATGAAAAGCATGTTGTATGCAACATATTACAGAATAAATAATTATGAAAAAAAAAATTTAAACAGTGACAGTGCAACTCAAGTATTTTTTTTCAGTTTATTGTATAGTGCACAATATTTGAATAAACTAACAACATCCACCGACATAGAACTGTGGCAGTCAGTGCAATTGAGGTAGGTATTAACATCAAGTCTAAGATGACTCACTTAATGGAGAGAAAAAGTGAGTGGCAGG